ATTACCCCAGTCACTGAATCGAACCATCTCATCCTGGGTCTTCCTCTCTTGCGCTGTCCGTCCGCCCTCCCAAGCATGATGTCCTTCTCCAAGGATACATGTATCACCACTTGCATTTTAAATTCCCACCTGGGAATGATCTTTGTTACTCTATCTCATGTTAAGGTCCTTCTTTATGTTTTGTGTCTCTTTTTACAGCATGTCCAACCGCTGCCCCCATTGACCTCGTATTCCTGGTGGAGGAGTTCGGCAGAGCCAGTCAGGCAAACTTCAAGCAGGTCGTCTCCTTTCTGAAGTCGGTTGTCAGATTGCTAGGGATCCATCCTGATCTTGTGAGAATCGGCTTGGTCTTCTACGGCGAGGCTCCACGGCTCGAGTTCTCACTGGACAGGTTTCAGAATGGACACCAAGCGTTGATACATCTGGACAAGTTAAGCTACCGAGGAAGAAGAGGGGAACTCAAGACCGGTGCGGCCTTGGAGTTCCTGAGGAACTGGGTTTTCACCCCGGAGAGGGGCAGCCGGTCCAGATACGGTGTACCCCAGGTAGCGGTGCTCATCACAGAGAGTGTCGCTCAGGACAACGTGTCCAGTGCAGCCTCTCTGCTCCGCAAAGCGGGGGCCACCATCTACGCCGTGGGCACCCAGCTGGTCTCAGACAGCAAGGACCTGGACAAGGTGGCCTCCTACCCTCCTTGGAAGCATGTGATATCCCTGGAGTCGTTCCTGCAACTCTTCGCTGTGGAGAGGAAGATTAAGAACGAGCTATGCCCCCCTGACCTTGGAGTCAGCTTTGAGGAGAGCAGCATGCTGGCCCCTCCGCCCCAGGGAGGTAAGAGCTACTTACTGTTTCCCAGGCCTGCTCTGTCCTCACCTCCTACACTCCCCGCCAAAGAAAAGAGTCTTTATTTCGCTAATTAAAAATTAGAATCCTCCAAATGTAGAAAATCCAGACAACACAGAGGAGTGTGTCTAAAGGTGATCATTTCTCACTGTCCTCCCCTCCTCTCAATGGTGTGAGTGAAGAAGGTCTGGGCAGAGGTGAGAAGCCGGCTGTGTGAGTGGGGACTGAGTGAATCTGAAGTCAGTCACTTAGGCAGGAAATGATCTCAAGGATACAAATGTGCTTGAAATTGTGATTTAAAGGAGACCGAGAAACACTAGCTTGACTGTCGTATGCCATCGTGGCTCCAGCCCCTTTGGGGATGAGCTTGCGCTTGGCATTCTGTGACTCTTTTCCGTTGAACTTCTAATAGTGCACTGTCCACAATAACCAGGTTTTGTTTCTTTGCAGTGGGAAGGGATGTTAACCACTTTTTTTTTGAGTCTGCAGAAGATTTTTCTTTTCTTTCTTTTTTTCCCTTTTTAAAAAATTATTATTAAATTTTATTCGTTTTAATGAACATTTACAGAGATTTTGGGTTCTCATTCATTCATTGTTAACCACTTTTGACACAATCTGAGTCCAGAGATCCTTGTTAATTCCTGTGCTCCTAAAAATCCAATCTTCCTTAATGTCATCTAGTAATTTAGCCATTTTAACACGTCTTTATTGCCTCTTTTCTAAGCAGTTCAATCTAGTTCTCATAGGTGCAACTAAGCTCTTTTTTCCCCATGCCATGTCTTATCGATTGATATGAAATATTATTGTGTATTTACAACAGTGAAATTGACACACATAAGCTAGAGACAAACCCACCTGGGTCTTTGTAAGTGTGTTATTCCACTGAGTCATGTGGAACTAACTGGTTTCAAATAAAGATCTTCTGGGGGAAGTAATTAAGATTTTGTGGGAGCATCATTCATTGTGTCTAACCCAGAAAACACCAGTTTGTCTGGTGAATCAGTTAAGTGGAGGTCAGATAGGAAACCTCCCAGGACGTGCAATTAACAACAACAATAACAACGAAGACCTAACATAACTTTGTGGTTGAAAACATGAACTTTGGGGCCAGACTACTTAGAGTCCAGAGCTTTAAAGCCCAGACGGGCCACTTACTGGCTGCGTCTTTGTGTCTGTCTGTGGTTTTTGTTTACCCATACGGTTTCTGTGATACAATTTCTTAGATGGACACTAGAATTGTAGATAGAAAGTGCTGTCTTGAAATGTAGGTGATGAACTTGAAGATTCAAGGCTGTGGTTATGCCTTGAAGGGAAAATCACTGAACTTCATTTTTTCACACACACTAAACTGTCTTGAGATCTCGGGATTACTTGTCCTGAAGTCTGAAAGGTTCTAAACTAGAGTTCTTTTTCCTTCACCATTTGCTAATACTTCCCATGAGTAGGGGGGCTGAGGTGACTGTAAGTGCACAGACGCACACGCAGTGGTAATTAACAAGACGAAGGAAAAGGTTTATTACGGTAGAACATAGGAGGCTTGGTGGGTTAAAGATACGGATAGGTCGTGCGAGAGAGCTAAAGAGAAAAGGAAAGGGGACTTGAGGACACCCTTGGAGAGCTGGGGGGTGAGGTGGGTGTGCGGCTGCAGGAAGTGAGGGACACTCATGTGAACCCTGCCTCCACTGGCTCCCACTCTCCTGAGTCTGGCCAGAGCCTAGCCCCGCCCAGGGACCTGTGGGATTGATTGGGGTTTCGATCCCCTGCATTCCTCAGGGAGGGGCTTTTCCCTGCTGTAACCCCCTTTCTGGCCTCTGCTCCCTTGGTGCCACTGGTTTTTTGCCTTCCTTTTCTATTTCAACCAAGAAACTCTGTTTTTAGCTCTCTCCTGTGGGAATGGGACACACACACACACACACACACACACACACACACACACACACACAGCTATTCTAACCCTCGATAAGATCTGGAGAATTGATATCACAAAATCTATGAATACCTTTCTCATGGCACTGTGTTGCTAGAGCCTTTCTCTGTTTTCAGAACGAGGGACAACATCATTATTCCTCAATTTCACTTTCCTGTTTCTCTGCCTTTGCACTAGAGTTGTTGCTGAATGTTGTTGAGTCAGAACCAGTACTCCCTGGGCCTTCCGTGGGTTTTCAGAGGCTAGAGAAAGATGGTTGTTCTCCTCCCGTGAGATTGACTGCCTCTGAAACCCTGTTGGAGAGTCAGCTATGAGTCAGGTCTAACTCAACAGTATACAACAGCTAACAGTCTCACAAGAGGAGATTGCTCAGCCTTCTCCCACGGAGCAGCTGGTGTATTTGATCCACGTGAGTTTGGGGTTGCAGCCCTCTTCTTACCATTAGGCCACCAGAGCTTGCTTTACACCAGAGGGAACAGGGAAGGGAATAAAGTCTTGCTAAATCACAAATAATACAAAGCGTGCTCCTGGTTGGTTCATTCTCCAGATTCCGTGACTGTTCAGGAGCTGAGGACCAGGATAACCAGGCCAAGGTCTGGAGTGACGGATGAGGGACGGGACAGTTTTGAGATCATCAGAAGCAGTGACAATGTTATGTCTTGATAATCTGAGTGATCGTAATGTGCACACCTTCTACTATTTATTGGTCATTTGCTGTGTGCTGGACACTGCTACACACTTCATGTATGCAATGGTTGTGAATTCTCAGAGGTATCTGCACTGTAAGAAATCTCTCTCAATCTCTCTCTCTCTTTCTCTCTCTCTTCCCCAAACTACTTGGCATGAGTGGGAAGATCACAGAGTCCCAGGCAGAGCCCACCGCTCTGGGCCCCTCTGCACAGTGCGCAGCCCCTGGGGTGCTGAGGAGACTCTGAGGAGGTCATGCTCCACTGGGCTGGCTACAGGAAGGCTGCTGCCCTCGCAGAGGTCCCGCCTTCAGACACCAAGCTCCATCCACCGCCCAGGCCCGGGAACAAGCTTTTCCCCTTCCAGTCTCAAAGATTTAACACGTCATTTCTTCCTGTACTTCTCCAAGCCACAACTTCTTCCAATGTGTGCTAGAGAAAATGCACGACACCCAGTTACATTTGAATTTCCTTCAGATGAACAGCACTTTTTGGTTTTTTTTTGCATCAGCGTACCCCAAATATTGCGTAGATTTATGTAGAGTTGGAACCAACTCATAGCTGACCCTCCACTGGTTTCTGAGGTGATAAATGGCACAGGAGGAGAGTGCCTGTCTTTCTCCAGTGGAGCCCCTGGCGGACTCGAACTGCCTGGGAGGTATGGTTTTTGGATCGGCAACCTGAATCCATACAGACTACATCACCAGAGACCCAAACAGCTCCCACTTGAGAGCACTTCCCTTCCAGGCAGCAAACGTGAAGAGGCTCGTAATTCTTTCCTGGATCAAGAGAATCCGGAGGTTAAGAATACAAGACTAGGCTGCCCTTTACTGGAGAGAGTGAGGAATCTGTTAGACGACAAAAATAACACAGGGGTTAACCTTACCCTTAAATCCCAACAGCCAGGCGGCTGTGTGAGGTTTTATTTAATCCTTAGAATAAGCTTCCTGTGGAGGCTTTTTGTTTGACAGATTAAGAAACCGAGATGCAAAAGGGCCAAGCCCTGGGCTTCTAAGCTCCCAGCTGGTAAGCAGTGGAGACAGCATCTAAACTTAGAGCCTTTTTGCCCTTTGAGGTAAAAATCTTATTACAAGGGTATTTGCACTAAGCGAGACTCATTTAAAACAGGTGACTTTTGAACTTCATGTAAAATTTACACACTCTTTGGCTCATGTAGCTCCAAATATACACTGATTTTTACTCTCCATTCATCTTCTTCATTTTTAACAATAAACACCAGCTCTGGTGGTTTAGTGGTATGAAATTGCGCTGCCAATCCCTAGGTCCACGGTTTGAATCCATCACCTGCTACATGGGAGAAAGATGGGTGATCTCTTCAGGTGCAAATTGTCATTGTTGTTTCATCTGGAGGGTCAACTATGAGTCAGTTTCAACTCAGTGATACTCAACAACAACAACTGAACTCACGGAGAGCCCAAGGAGCACACTGCCCGACGCCATGCTACCCTCACCGCTGGTGCTGTGTTCGGGCCCATCGCCGCAGCCAGCGTCAGTCCATGCGGCCGGGCATCTTCCTTTTTTGGCCGATCCTCTCCTTTTCCAAGCACGAAGTCCTTCTCTAGGGCCTGTCCTGTCCTGAAACAGGCCTGGCACCCGTGAGAAGAATCTCACTATCCTGGCTCCTGAGAAGGAAGAATTCAGGCTGTGCTCCTTCCAAGCCAGCTCGGCTCTTCTTTGGATAGTTTGCGGTACAGTCAATATTTTTTGCCAACACCATATTTTTTTTTAAAAAGTCAATTCTTTTTCGATCTTTCTGTTTACTGTTTGGCTTTCACATGCATCTGAGATGATTGAAACTACCCTTGTTTCGTCTGGCACACCTTAGTCTTTAAGATCACATCCTGTTTCTTAGCACTTTACAGAGATCCCTGGTAGCGTGTTTGCCCATTGCAATGTGGTTTCTGGACTTTTCCTTTCATATGTACTGATTGTGGATACAATGAAATGAAAATCATTGGAAATGTCAATCTTTTCTCCATTTACCATAATGTCATTTATTGTTCCAGTTGTGAGGATTTTTGTTGGTTTGTGATTTTTATGTAGAGATGTAACCCAACATACATGTTGGACTGACGTTTAAATTAACCTTACGCCACCCAGCTGAGCATTAGAAAGTTTATTTAAGAAATTTTAGGTGTATTTATTTCAGGTCTTAAGTGGATTTTACCAGAAACAGACTCTGAAACATGTATTTAGATGCAAATAATTAATGTGGGAGGGGACCCCAGAAAAGAAAGAGAAGGAAGTCGACAGAGTGAATCAGGGAGCAGGCCGTTGGGCGGCTGGTGCTCGGCTCAACTGAGGTCATCTCACAGACCACGCAGCCCAGGCTGCTCCACAGTCCCACCCGACATCCGGGCCCGAGCCGTGTGTGCTGGCTGCGTTCTGGATCAAAGGACATCAGACGTGCTCTCAGGGGTCCCGAGAGAACAATCAGTACTAAGGGAAAATGGGGACAGATTAGTGGTAGGGAGTCACACAGCTGACCTGAAGCACATGCTTTGAATCCATCAGTGCTTCTGTGGAAGAAAGCTGGGCAGTGTCCTTCTGTGCAATTTACAGCCTGTGAAAACCCACTGGCACGTCAGCTATGGGTCAGTTCTGACTTGACAGCATATATCAACAATGAACAAAACAAAATATGTATGGTTGATTGCTTTTTTAAGGAAAAAAAGCTAAGGAAAGGTTTACACATAGATAAAAAGTTTATAAGGTTAAAAGAGATGAGAGAGGAAGGAAAAATGAGCAGAGATTTGCTGTCAACAGAGGATAAAGAATAAAAAATGAGACAAAACATCTAGAATGTATAAGAAAACGAGCAGGGGGCGAGCAGTTCAGACAACTGAAGCTCCAAACCCAGCTTTCCTGTGTCTTTATTGAAAATTGCCAGGGAGCAAATCACAGAGAGAATTCTATGCAGATGAAGCTGAGCTCTTTCTATTGAAAACCTGCTTGACTTAGGAGGGAGGGGTTAACAAATACAATACAAGAATGGTGTAACCACCTAAGGTCTGACTTAGGCTTAAACCCTGTGGAAACCTAAGGTCGGCCCTGGTGCTTCCAGGTGAATTCCAGCTTGTATCGTGCCTTCCTCATATCCTGGTACAGCATTTGGTTTATTATAAATATTTAGGATGAAATTTGGCTTCCCACAAGGATTAATAAGTAGGTTGAGTGAAAAAGGCAGTGTGTAACGGGGGTTTGATGAGCATTGTGACGAATTTCATGAGCTAATCGGAATGAATGATCTCACAGACGATGCACAGACAATGGGTGGGACAGCAGTTTGGGCTCCGCTCTGCTTGGACTCTGAGCTAATGGCTCTGCTTGCTGCTTCTTGCCACCTAGGTTGTGAGCAGATTCAGAAGGCAGACATTTACTTCCTCGTGGATGGTTCTGGAAGCATCACACTGGAAAATTTTCTTGAAATGAAGGTGTTCATGATTGAGGTGATAAAGACGTTTCAGGTGGGGCCCGACAAGGTCCAGTTTGGAGTGGTTCAGTATTCCCACCTGATGCAGACCCAGTTCCTCCTCAGCCAGCACAGCAGCGTGACGGAGCTGGAGCGGGCCATTGACGGCATCCACCAGCTAGGAGGAGGCACCAACACCGGCCAGGCCTTGAGGGACATGCAGCAGGTGTTCGCGGGCACGGGCCGCACCAACACGGCGTGGTATCTCATAGTCATCACGGACGGGAAGTCTGCGGATGAAGTGGCCCAGGCCGCAGAGGCCCTGCGGGGAAGAAACATCATCATCTACGCCATCGGGGTGCGAGAGGCCAACATGGAGGAGCTCGAGGAAATAGGCAGAGACAAGATTTTCTATGTGTATGAATTTGATTGCTTGAAGGCCCTTCAGCAAGACGTGGTGAAGGACCTCTGCTCCACAGAAGGTAAGGTGCTGCTTCGTGATTGAGGTAAAGAGACAGAAAACACATTTGCTGCTTCTGAAAACTTAAAATGTATGGCTTTGTGATGTTAAATATGTTCGGCATGGTCAACTATCACCAGTAACTAACCCTCGATCTTTCAACGTGATCATAAAAGCTCAATATCTTCCACATGTGTCTTCCCTTCACTCTCCTACCTGCCACTGATAAGCACTGATAGGCTTGAAAGAAGCTTTTCTTCAACACCTCTTTCCATCTTGCTGTCTAATTCATGAATCAGACTTTATACTTGAAAACTATGTCCTGGTCAGCAGGAGAGTATTAACATACTCAGAGTGACCGTGACTGGGGAATCACCACCCCGTCAGGTTTTACATCGGCATTACATAGCAGAGACAACTTATTTAACTAATTCTCTCTTCTGCACATGTATTAATATTTATATTTTGTGTATATGCTATCCCAGACTGTCCCTAAGACTTGGTATTAATGATATTGTAATGAATGAATGTAATTATTATAACTTGTAATTAATGAATACTCTGTGTTGCTACTTTCTCCCCCCAGTCTGTAAGGATAACAAAGCTGACATTATGTTCCTGATTGATGGCTCAGAAAGCATTGCCCCCCCAAATTTTGTAAAGATAAAGGAGTTCATGGAGAGAATCGTGAACATATCTAATATTGGTCCTGATAAAGTTCAGATTGGCCTTTTGCAGTTCAGCACAGATCCTCAGGAAGAATTCAAGCTCAACCAGTTCTCTACAAAGGTGGACATTCATGACGCCATCTTGGATGTCCAGCAAATGAGCCAGGACGACACTCATACCGGGAAGGCCCTGAATTTCACTCTACCCTTTTTTGAAAGCTCAAAAGGAGGGAGACCCAGTGTTCATCAGTATTTGATTGTGATCACTGATGGAGTCTCGAGAGATAATGTAGCAATACCAGCCAAAGCTCTCAGGGACAGAAACATAATGCTTTTTGCCATTGGGATTGGGGAAGCCAAAGACTCTCAGCTTTTGGAGATTACTGGAGACCGGGACAGGGTGTACCACGGAGAAAACTTCGAGTCCCTCCGGGACATGGAGAACACAATTCTTTATCAAGTTTGCAGCCCACAAGGTGAGTGACAGGGGAGTTGCTTTATGATTCTTGCGGCCTTCGCAGGAGTTGGGAACCCTATTTACTCTGTAGTATAAACACTGATCCTTCTAGCTGACTGAGGAAGGGAAGGTCACTTTGTAGGGAAGGCAGGTGGACTGAAGTGACGTCTGAGTCACCACTTCCCTGGGGATAGTTATCATCAATTCCCATGGCTTTCCCCACTCCCATCTCCAGGGAGGACTGTCTATGGAGAACTCTCTGTAGAAAAGTCTCTCAATTTGTAATGTAAACAAAGCCAGGATGGAATGTGTAAACCTAACTTCACTGAAAGTTTGGGCATCTTGAAGGGGGGCTGGAGCAGACAGTCAAGGCGGTCTGTGCCGTGGACTGAAACCCTCCATGCAGACCCTGACCCGCTTTGTTGGCAGCCTGCTGCCCTGTGGACAAAGTGTGTCTCGTCTTCGTCTGTCTTCTCTCGTCCTTAGGAGTTGCACTGCTATCCTAGAGGCCATGCTTCCTGGTGGTCCTTGGGAGGAAGATGAGCTGTCTTCTCCCTGGTGATTTACAGCCTCAGAAACCCACTGAAGGGTCAGCTGGGAGTCAGTTCTAAGTCGATGGCAATGAGCTTGAGCTTTTTTCCAAAACAGCAAGAGCCGGAGACAGGCGTTCCCTCCCCTGTCAATCTGGGTTCGCTCTTCTGAGTTGACCTTCCTTTTCTCACGGCCTCCCCTTGTAGGATGGCCCTGAGAAAGTCTTCAGGACCCTGGCCCCTTTCAGTGAGGGATGGGAGTCTGCACAGCCACAGTGAGAACCTCTGCTGTTGTTAGATCCGTCACGTGGGTGTGGATCCACAGTGTCTCTGCACAGTGGAGGACCACGTGCTCAGATCCGGCTTCGCAGTCTCGGGGCGTTTGAACCCACTCTTGCAGCTGCTGTGACCATCTGTCTCATTGAGGGTCTTCCTTTTCTTCACAGACCTTCTGCTTTACCAAGCATGAAGTTCTTCAGGTTGGCCCATTCTGGTACATGTCCATCCAAACTTTGCTGTTGTCATTGTTTGGTGCCACTAAGTCCATGAACACTCCTAGCGAGCCTGTGAACGGCAGATGAGAACCTTGCCCATCTCAAGCCTCCCTCCCTATCTCCGTTATGTTTCAAGCCATAGTTGCAGTCCCTGTGTCGGTCCTCCTGGCCGAAGGGCTGCATCTCTTTGTTAACCTTTCCCAGCATAATGTCTTTTTCAGATGGTGCTTATTTGTGCTCAGAGGTCTTCCCAGGGTTTCCTGTATATTAACACATTTAATCTTCATCATAACCCTCTGAAACAGGTTTAGTTTTAGAGATGAGAAAATCAAGGCACAAGATTTAGCTAGTAAGCTTCAGTCAGTGGCAGAGCTGAACACCTGAAACAGTGTTTGTGTACTGCTATGTAAAACAGGTGTAGAAACCAGAGCAAAGAAGCTTTTACTGGGGCTCTCAGGCTCTTGGATAAAGTTCACTGCTGGGGTAGGGGTTCAGGGGTGGGGGGGAGAGAGAGAGAACACACACACATACCAACCTTATGTCCAACAGCTCTGAAGCCTGCCCTATCCTGAGCCAGTCTCACTGACACCTACACACCTATCCCATTACCCCAGTTATTGTGTCAATCCATCTCATATGGGGTCTTCCTCTCCTATGCTGTCCCTCTGTCCTTCTGATTATAATGTCCTTCTCCAAGGACTAATCCCTTCTGGCTACATGCCCAAAGTACATGAGATAAGAGTTTCAAAATCCTAGCCTCCAAGAAGAAATTTGGTTTTACTCTCTCCAAGACAGACCTACTTGTTCTCTTGGTTGCCAATGGTATGTTCAAGACTCTTCTGCACCACAACTCAAAAGCATTGATTCTTCTGTCATCCTTAATCATTGTCTAGCTCTCTGATGCATAGCAAGCAGTTGTGAAGACCTTGGCCTGAATTAGGTGAACCATAGTCTCTAGACTGACATCATTGCTTCTGAGTACTCTGCAGAGGTCCCTGACCGCAGATTTTCCCAATGCATTTTGTCTCTTTATTTCCTGATTGCTGGTACTAAAAGAGTTGATTGTGGAGCTGAGCAAGCTGAAATTGTTAACAACCCCAATCTCTTCTCCATCTATCACGGTGCTGCCACTTGGCCCAGTGTTGAGAATATTTGTCTTCTTGATGTTGAGCTTCAATCCATATTGAAAACTATAGTCCTTGACCTTCTACGGTAAGTGCTTCAGGTCCTCCTCAGTTTCAACATGCAAGGTTGTGTCATCTGCATATTGATTGTTGCCTCCTGGTATAGGACAGGGGAACACAATGGGGCATCTTAAATTTTAATTTGCTTTTTAATGCAGATTCTGATTCAGTAGGTCATGATGAGATTCTGAGTTTCATAGGTGCTCTCAACCCTGCAGGTCCCCTGACTACATGGTGGGCAGGAGGGCAGTGTAGTGGTAGGGTGTGTTGTGTTATGGCAACGGGCAGTGGAACTACAGAGCGAAACGGAAAGCCATGGAATGATGGAATATGATACAGCACTGAACAGCAAACCAGAGTATAGCACATGACAATTTTGTAGCATATAGAATTGTACAGGACAGAACGGTGTGTTATGGAACCCATAAGGCCCAGAATTCCTACAGGAAGTTCTGTAAACAGGAGTAATTTTCTTATTATGTCCTTAAACTTAAAGCTCAAGTTCATTGCCTTGCTGACCCTCTAGAGGCTTGTTGGAGGCTGTAAATCACATGGGAGGAGACGGCCATTCTTTCAGCTGCTGGTGGATTCGAACCACCTGTATCTGGGTTAGCAGTACAACTCTCTAAAGACTACATTACCAAAGCCCCCTGGCCTTAAGTATAAATAGCTCTGCTTGGTCTAGAGGTTTCTATCAGCGAGCCTCCCTGCTGGGGAAGAGTCTGTGATGACAGCTTTTCTGTTTTTGTTTTTGTTTTTTTGAACCAAGTTAGAAATGAGGACTTATGTTTATCTTTAGCTGTGTCTTTGTGAACTTTTTAGATGTCATTATCCAGATGCTGTAAGAACAGCTAGGACCTAGTTAGAGAATTCTTGAATTATAAAGCTGAAAAGCTTGTCCAAGTCATCTGGTAAGGCTGAACTCTTCCCATGAGCAGGCAAAGGCTCTTCTTAATAATGAAAAAGAGTCAGCTCAGAAGCGAACCACCTGGGACTGTTCTTTGGGCAAGTGTCAAATCAGGAATACTGGAACAGTGTGCCGCACTGCGGAAAGGAAGGTTCTCTTTTATGAACTAGGAAGCACTGGGGCGTCATGACAGGGACTGGCACTGCCAGCCCAACAAAGGCGAGCAGTCAGACTTGCATCTGCAGAGGCTGCTTTTGGGGAATTTGATTTTGAGGTTTAAAGTCAGAATGAGAGCAATCTGTTCCATATGAGAGGAGAGGAGCGAAGTACACTCTGGAGAAGTCCAAAAAGGTCGCTGGCCAGCTGGCTTAGAGTACGACACGTAGCAGATGGACAATTTCCGGTCAGCACTGGCTGATCCTTCAGGCCACTGAGAACTGTTTCACTGAGAAACATCAGGTACATTTCCACCCCAAATGCCGGTACCTGGAGTTTTGGTTTTACTGATTTTGAGCCAAATACCAGCTTGTGATGAGCCAAAGAGACGATGATTTCCTGCCTGGCTTGTCATGGACAGAGCCAGCGGATTCTGGAGGACACTGAGTCTGAGCACTCCTCTCCATGGTCTATAAGGTCCGTGGGTAGCACTAGTGGTTCACTCTCACTACTACCCACAAGGCTGGCAGTTCAAATCCACTCCGTGGTGTTGCAAAGGAAAGACGTTTTGGTCTGCTTCCATCAGCTCACAGCCGCTGGACACCAGATGGGCCACTGCTCTGTTCTGGAACACACAGGCCATCAGGAGTCAGATCAGCTCAATTTTCTCATTTTGTGATGATTTATAAGCTACATTCTAGCTGAGGGGTGGCTGTGTGTGTGACCTCAACTTTTGTGTCCGCGGTGCAGTTTTGTGGATGGCTTTCTTACAGACCTAAGGAAGCATGAGTGACCAAAGTGGCCCTCAGAGCTACCCAGCCTTCCCAGACGGACCAGGTGATTTTCTGTTGTGGGCTTTCCTCTGGGCTTCCTTCCCCCTGAAAGGAGAATCTGGTGGGCGGTGAATGAGGAAAACACTTCAGAGGAGGAGGAAACCGCATAGCTAGTGCTGGACAGGACAAGATCCAGATTTGTTGCCCACAGAGTCACAGATAAATAACTTGATGGCACCTAACTACAGCAGCTAGCAGTGCTGAGAAGAGGCTTGACACTGACTCCCCACTAGGTCTATTCATTTGTCAAACATTTAATGAGCATCTACTTTATAGCAGGATCTACAGAGGCACCCAGGCATGAACAGGGTGCCTCACACTAACTAGTGTTTGCTACGCTACAGACACCACCCAAGTCTAGCAATGACTGTCGTCCGTCTCGTCCTCCATGCGTGAACTGGTGGTCTCCGGTCAGGGCCAGCCTGCAGGACGTCTGATTTGACTTTCTCCTCTCCTGTGCTCACAGAATGCAGCTTGGAGCTGTTTGTAGGACTTGAGATCTCAACTTCCAAAAGGCAAATTCAGCAGATGCTTCAACAGTTGCTGCCGGACCTGATGGCGCAGCTGGCCTGGCTTCCCAACATCAGCTGTAGCGTCACTGAGCAGATGGACACGGGGCTCCACTACTTGGTTCCTGGTCCGAATGGGCTTTACTTTAAGAATTCCAGTGACGGGATTGCTCAGATGTTGCTGGCTGCTGAAAACAACCGCATGCACGTGGAGTTTCTGCAGGTCCTGGGAAATGCTGCTTCTCTGGTGCCTGCGAAAACCAAGGTAAGGAAGGATGGGAACTCATCAAGAGGAACCTTTGGGCAGGAGCAGGATGAGACCAGCCTGGTGGAGACCCTACACAGAGGGAAACCTTCGTCTCATCCAGGAATAGCCAACAAGAGGCTTGTCTTCGGTCAACCAACAACTAACTGTTCATTACATCCTTGAGGCTCCGGCCTGGCCAATGGCAGAGGGAGAAGCAAAGCAGATCAACTCCCAGTCCCTAGATTCCCCTATGGCATAACTCATCCCAGAGACAAATTGGGAGAGCTCTGATGGGTCTCAGCCCCCTCTGCCCATGCACTGCCCTCTAGCTTGTGCCTGTGAGGTGCCGTGGAGTCAACTGTGAGTCAGGGAGACCCTGTGAACAGCAGATCTGAACCCTGTCCTGTCTGGGCCGTCGTCACCGACTCTGCCAGGCTCATGTCCGTTGTTGCAGTCACTCATGGTGTCAATGCAGCTTGCTGAATGAAGGTCTTTCACTCTTCCTCTGACTTGAAGGCTCATTATTTTTCTAGTTACCACCCTGAATTATCTTTGCCGACAGCTAAGGGTGATCTCAACGAGATAGGTTGACACGGTGACTGTAGCAGTGGGCTCAGGCCTGGGAGACTTGGTCAGACTGGTGCCGGAAGGGACAAGCCGATCTGTCATTCATAGGATCGTTGTGAGGAAGAGTCGACGGCACCCAACAGCAATAACAACCATGGCCATCTGTGTAGCCAACCTGAAACCCCTCTCTCTCCTGTCTACCCTGCAACTTTATACCCACCAAACTCTGCAGAGCCGAACCCGTCTCGTGACACTTGTTAGGAAATGACTACCTCTAGCCCCCAAACTTTAGCACTTACATTTAGTTTTTCTTTCCTTGATCTAATGACCTTTATTTCTTAACTAATAGAATTATTTTTTAACATCTTTAAAATTAATTTTTAAGTGAATATTTTTGTGAGTAAAAAAATTAATTTTTAAGTGAATTTTTTTGTGAGTAAATTTAATATGCTTTAATTGTAGGCAAAGCATGAAACATATTTAACAGGAAAAAGCAATACCTCTGCCTAGAGCTCACACTCGCTTCTCTCTCTCTCTCTCTCACACACACACACAGATGTGCACATACACTAAAATATCCCTAATAATATTTTGATGCTTTTGGTTAGTTGAATATTATAAGACAGTGTTTGGAAGGGGGGAAGGGTAAGCTGGCTCAAATATTTTTTTTTAAGGTGAGAGGGATGAAGTAAAAGTGAATAATTAATAAAAGATATGAATAGACCTGAAGGAATATGGGGAAAGATTGGGTGTGGTTTGAAGAGCCAAGCCTTGCATTTTGAGGCATCGTGTCACTTACAGCTTCCTTCTCTGTCCCACCTCCCTTTCTCCCACCCTCCTAACGCCAACAGGTCCTTTTAGTATTTACAGATGGACTGGACGATGGTTTAGAGAGGCTGAAGGAAGAGTCCAGGCGGCTCCGGGCGTCGGGTGAGCATGCTGGGTTGACTGCGGGCTGGAGGCGCAGAGGCCCTGGGCACTGTTGAGTACCTGTGTGCTGTCCTCGGGTTGGACCTCAGGCCAGGAGACTGCTGTCCAGCCTCCTCTTCTTCTGAGCCAAGAGTGTCCAGGCGGAGAGTCCCCCCCGCCCCACGCACACCATGTCCGACACTGGCCACTGTTCTCTGTCCGAGGCAGGGGTGGTCAATCACCAGCCAGGCGTCTGCCCTGTCAAAGCACCCGCGTGGACAATTGTTGTTGTTATGTGCCATCGAGTTGCTTGCGACTCATAGTGACCCTGTGCTCATCACCCTGCTCCATCTGACTTACCCACCCCCACCGCCCCAGTCACCGTGTCAATCCACCTCATTCGAGGTCTTCCTCTCCTGCACCGTCCCTCCACCCTTCCATGCATGATGTCCTTCTCCAAGGACTGGTCCCTCCCGGCCAAATGTCCAAAGTATGTGAGATGGAGCCTCAAAATCCTTGCCTCCAAAGAGCAGCCTGGTTGCACCATCTCGGGGACAGACTTCTTAGCTCTCTTGGTGATCCATGATGTGTTTAAAAGTTGTCCTTCGGGGGCCACAGGCCAAAGGCGGGTCCGTCCCAACAAGGCTTTAGTGACACTGGGTCAGGAGAAGGGAACCAGCATAAGCTCTTGGAGTTTTTCTCAGGGGGTTACCTGTGTCACTTGTGATCACCTTTCGTTGGCCAGAACAAGTCATGTGCTATTTCTAACCTTCATCAGGTACACATTCTTCCACAGGTAAAGAACCAAGGTTCCGTGAAAGAGTCCATGATTTCCTAAATGTGTATAATCTTATAATGTGTCTTCAAGGAAAGAACAGTGACATTGGTAAACAGCACCACAGCTACATCTGTTTCTAAGAGTAAGACACAATAGCTACTTCAGGAGTAGATCAGGAGGATAAAATTTAGTACAGGAATCTCTGAGTTCAGAGCTTGACTACTAACCAAAAGGTTGCTAGTTCAAGCCTACTTGTCGGCACCTTGAAAGGTTCACTGACCCACTTCAGAAAACGCAGACAGTGAAAATGGAGAAGCACCATTTGGCCCCCACACACAGGGTCTCCAGGGCCCAGAATGGATTCAACAGCAACTGGAGGGGTGGGGTGGTTTCATAAAGTAGGGGCTGAAAAGACCCTATAAGAAATGTTAAAATGAGCTTATAAAACTATTAAGCAAGTCCTCTGTGCTTCTTAACTGCCTAACTTTACCCTGGCAGGATTGAAAGGTCTCAGACCAATTCTCCTTCTTCTTTTTTTTTTTTTATTTTTTATTTTTGTGTGAGTGTACCATCGTCAAATCAGATCTGACTGGTACAGGAGGAGATTGTCCCTCTTTTTCCCGGCAGAGCATCTGGTGGATTCGAACCATGTGCCTCTGGGATTGTAGTTGCAGCTCCTTGCCACTAGGCCACAAGAGCTCCCCTTCAGACCAATTCTTTTTTTTTTCTATAATTATATTTTATTAATTTTCATAAAAATTTACAGAGATTTTGGGTTTCCATTCATTCACCGCTGCACCATTCTCTCTACCCTCCTCCCAGTTTGTTCTTGTCCAAATGCCACAGTGCTTGTCAAAGCCAGTTCTGATTAATCTTCTTTGTCAGTGTGTCCTTTGCCATTCCCTATCACTCCTCCCTGAGAGAGACTTCACCCTGAGTCATAAGGAAAAGGGGATGGCATATTCTCTTAGCTACTTCCTGCTGAAAAGGGATGCTGTGGGTTTCAGGGTGAAGATCTTCTCTCACTACTCTAAAGGGCCCCTTTGGCAGTAGGAAACACATAGACTATTATGGAGACTGATTTTGGAATTTAGATGCACTCTTATTGATTGTGCTTGGCCATACATGTTCATATCCTTGAAGATGTATCATGGGGGGGTTGCAACCTAGAAGACACAAATTTGACTAACAAGTTATAAGTACATGAGTCCAAAAATTATGGAAAAGTAAAAGAAAAGATTCTTTCATTGTTCCACAACCCCCCCCCAGGTCCCCTCCACCATGCAGCCCTCGCTCTAGACTCCTGTGATGACAGAAACACCCAGTTATATATCTCTTTTAAACAGTTCCCTCCCTCCTCCGCCTCAGTGCAGCACACATCATTGAACCCATCTTACTCAGTCTCTCCCCAACCCCAAGGACAGTCCCATTCTACAACAGTGGCATCATTGCTCCCCTTCAGACCAATTCTTAAAGCAGCCTTCTAGGAACTGGTTTGGGTTAGAATGAAAATGTAGTTTTAAGAAAAGACAAAGGATATGAAGTGATGGGACAGACGGTTGATGACTATCTGGGGCCAAGATAACTAAATTCATGGGCTCATTGCTGTCCAGTGGGAACTGACCCCCAGCTTAGCCTCTGCTGGGTCACACAGGAGGGGAGTGACCCTCTTTCCCCCAAGGTGGTGGATCTGAACCACCAGAGAGGCATCACCCTGAGTCAGAAGCACAGGTCCCGACGCCACGCTTACAGAGCATTCGGAGGACACACTTGAGAATCACCTGCATGTCGATACTTCCAGGCTTCTCTGGACTCCTCCTGGTCGGTCTGGAAGGCGTGCCGAAGCCAGAAGAGCTCCAGGAGCTGGAGTTTGGCAGAGGGTTTGCGTACAAGCAGCCTCTGAGCACCACACTGTGGTCCCTCCCGAGCCTCTTACAGAAGCAGCTTGTGAGTATGTTCTGCAATCCTGACCTTCACAGGTCCTACGGGACTCGTGACAGCACTCTTTCTCTCTAAGGCACAACACGATGTCATCTGACACAGGTGAGAAAATCCATGTGATACGGATTCTCTTTTCCAGAACACGATTGTAGAAAGAACGTGCTGCAACAGGATCGGGCAATGTTTTGGAGAAGAAGGAGACAGAGGAGACACTGGAAGCCCAGGGCTAAAGGTAGGGGTTGCCACGTAGGAGGGCACAAAGGGTGCAGCCACCGCTTGTAGGAGAAACTGCATGTACATCTTAACACTAGACTTCTCGCCCCCTCTCCGGTGTTGTTCTTTAGTATAACATGGATGCATTTACTGGTTAGACTTGGAAACCGCTTGACATCATTTCTTTAGCACTGCAAACGTTCTTTGGTTTTGTTATTTCTCTGCAAACTCAGTTTGTAAGAACCCAGGGTTCGATTGTGTGGACTTCTAAAGCTTTGTTGATCACGAGTAGAATACTACCCAGGTCGTCTTAACCTTAGACTAAATAAAAAGAAAATAGAATCTGTCATTAAAATGGTAAGCCAGACTTCCTTGAGAGGGAGTAGTGTATATGTTTAGGTTTGTTACAGGGAGTAGAAAGAGAAGAGACTAAATGGCTGAGTTGGACACAATAAAGAACTATTTTTTTCAAGTAGCGTGGCCGGTGGCATTCTTTCCACAAATGTACAGTCTTCTTTGAGGGTGAGAATTTCTCTAGATAGAAGTAAAGCTTGTTACTAAAACCCAATCTTGCTATGAGGTTTCAAATTTCATGTTGGGTTTTCGGTTTGAGGTACAGAAAATTTGCCAAGGGATATTGATGATGGTTTCATGATGTCACTGATATTATTTATTATATATGTGAAAACTGGAAAATCCTGTATTACCTATAATTTTACACCATTGAAAAACATTAAATTATCCTGAAATTTGTCATAGTAAAGTGATTAACCTAACAAAGATGCTTTTGGATAAATTGAAATAAGTTGACTATGAAGACAAAGAAGTATTCTGACTTCTGTTGTCCCAAGGCCAAGATTGGCCTGAGGCCTGGACACAGCCTTCCTGCTGCGAGTTCCCACTAACACCCAATAGATTCTCTAGAATGTGGATTCAGGGGCAAGAGTTCCTACTATTAATAATTTTTTACTTCATGTAGAATTGAGAGTCAAGTTTACTGATTTCAGCTGTTCATTTTCTTAGGGGCCGAAGGGTCCTGAGGGATTGCCTGGCTATCCCGGTGAAGAAGGGACACCTGTAAGTACTTGAGGCATTTCCTTTGATGCATTAGATGATGTTGTGATGTGCAGGTGAGTCGACTGTGACACTTGAGCGACCCTTCGGGCAAAGATAGGAGCCTTGTCCTATCCCGCCGTACCAGTATCACGTCTGATCTTACTTATGTCAGGAATGTTTTCCTAATCTGTACCTTGTAAATGTGTTCAAAATACCTGCATAAAATAATCTGTTATTAAGACAATTGTCAGATGGAGACATTTTTATACTTTCTAGAAGGTGTTCATTACATAGTGTGGTCATGTTGCTTTTTAAATTTTTAAATTAATTTTAATGAAAGTTTACAGAGACTTTAGATTTCCATTCATTCATTGTTGCACATTTTCCTCCCCGCCCACTCCTCCCCAAGTTTGCTTTTCACTTTGAAAAATAAAAAAAACAATTATTTCATTGTTATATAACCCCCCGTTCCCTCGCCCCCAGTCCACTCCACTATGCAGCTTTCATTCTGGACTCGTGTCATGACAGTAATACCTAATCATATATTCCTCCTAAACAGCTACCTTCCTTATCTGTTTCAATGTAGTGTATGTTATTTATCCCTTCTTTTCTTAGTTTCCCCCCAACCCTGATGTCAGTCCTATTTTATAACAGTGGCCCTATGCAGTATTTGTCCTTTTGTGACTGAGATATTTCACTCAGCATAATGTCCTCCAGTGTCAGTCATTTTGTATAATCTTTCATGAGTTCCTTGTTTTTTTTTCAGGGCAGCATAGTATTCCATTGTGTGAATATACCAGAGCTTCTCTATCCATTCATTGTCAATGAGTGTGAAATCATTAAAAATGTGGTCTGTGACCAATGACCATGAATGAGAAAGCGGCTGTTCCTGTGAGCAGAGAATGATGGCCTAATGTGTAAGGAGTTGCGCTACCAACCCAAAGCCAGGTGGTTTGAATCCACCAGGTGTTCTGAGGGAGAAGGAAGGGCAATCTCCTCCCATTCAATTTACAGCCCTGAAAACTTGGTGGAGGGTCAGCTATGGGTTGGTTCTAACTTGATATCATAACAACAACAGTTAGTAAAGCATGCTAATTGAGTTGCTCTCAGATTCTACGCCAAAGTTTGGTAGTTTGAACAGGCCCAGGGTGTTATGGAAACACAGCCTCGTGATCTTCTACAGAGATCAAACCAGGAAAAGCATGGGAGTTCTGTCCTGTCAAGTTCCACATGTGGCCACCAGTGGTAGGGATGCTCTTGGTGGCACTGGGTTTTATTAGTGAGGTTTGCTTATAAGCAGCTTAAATAAGGAATTGCGGATCCAAGGACATTCTCTTTGCTATGTCACCCACATGCCTTCCTGAGGGGCCAGAAGGCAGCGAAATAGCAGTTTCCCACAAATGGTTTGTATCTCACCCATGGGACATGCTGGCCAGCAAGGGTTACATACCGTGTCACTGGCTGTGGATAAAAATATGTATGTCTGTGTTGAGAGAATGACTGAGCTAGGGCACTAGACTGTAGGAATGACCATATTTGTTACATACTATAAATATCAGAGGAATAGAAAAATCCCCAAAGCATAATTTAGGGTCATGGAAACCCCATTTGCCTCAGATATCTGGTTCAAAGTTCATTTGTATATACTACTGGATCTCAAGCTCTTTTGGACTCAGGATGCCTTTAAGAACTTTGGAGATCATGGAAACCTCTAATAAGCTTTTAATGATGAGAATTATCACTACCAATATTTGCGCTGCCAACCCAGAGACAAAGGTTCAAATCCCCCAGCTGCTCGGAGGGAGAAGGATGGCCAGTCTCCTCCCACATGCTTTCCCATCTCTGAAAACCCACTGGAGCCTCAGCGGTGAATCGATTTTGATTCAATGACACACCGCCACCACCACCACAGATTTTACCATGTGAGAAATGGAGACTATGTAAGATTTGTTAGTTATTTAAAGCTAACATAAAAGAAACCTTCCATGTTACTGTTAATGATGTATTTCTTGATGAAAATAGCTCTCTTTTCTCAAGGGGAGCAGAGTGGGATGGATGACATTGCTTAGATGTGTTTGTGTTTCTTGGAGGTTTAACGGACTGAGTCCAGCTGGCCCTCAGTGCTGCTTCTGCAGTCACTCTGTCTTGTGATATCATAAGCTGTGTGACCTCTTGAGAACTCCAAGGGCCTTTGGGAGAGAAGAAGGGGAGAAAACAGATGAGAACGTTTTACAAAACTTGGAAAAAGCCTTCTGGTTTGTTATTGAATCTGCAGAAAGGACCTCATTTTGAGCAGTGTTTACGTACGCAAGCATTGCCATTGTCACTGTGGTACTTAGAGCGGCACATGGGCTTACGGTCTTGACCGCTACAGTTTTTTCCACTTGGAAGGGAAGTGGGGTTTTGGAGAAAGAGCAGTTGTTGAGGGCTAGGCTAGTGATCCAGCGCTTTAATCATGTTTATGGGGAAAGCAGCTAATTTTTCTCTTACTTTTGCCCTGGTGTGAGATGCGGTCCGGTCGGCCCCTGATGTAGGACAATCGCGTGCACAGCACAATCAGCCTGCTGTGCCCTGTCGCGTTTTCAGAAGTGACTGTCCAGGCCTCTCCTCTCTGGAAGCTCTGCAGAAGCTTACCCAGCTCCCCGGCCACACGCCGCCTCTGACACATGAGCAGTGGGTGTGCACAGACTGTGTGGGCCGGAAATGCCAGGTCTCTACGTGGAGGCCAGCGTTCCGTCACAAAATCACCACCATCATTTAGCTTAGCCTTAGACACCGTAAATACATTCATGAAAGTGAGAAGCATTTTAACGTTATAATGGCAGAAATCATGAGGAAGGTGCAGGCCAGGCGGGAATCACTCCGTTGTTTATAGGGTCACGTATGAGCTGTAGTTTACTCCTCAGAATCTAACGACACCGCGAGCCTATTCTCATTATTTTGTTTAGGAGTCATGAGAAAATTCATTTTTATTTCCATGATCTTTGAAACGCCTTTAAATTGTTATTTCATGTTTTCTTTCTCTGTTTGGCAAAGGTTGATGAGCCTGGCCGTAGTAAGGAGAATACTTTAGGGTCTATTTACTCCACGACGGTCTATAACTCTGACTTCAGACCAACACGATAAACAGGCCCTTGACAAATTGAAGGTGACACTTATGGTTCCTTGATCTTTATGAGAAAGTATCTATTTAATTGCACATATATAGCGATTTACTCAAGCCATAGATGTGTGTGGAAAGCTGGACAGTGAATAAGGAGGACCATAGGAGAACAGACATCTTTGACTCTGTATTTGCAAACAATATTTATTAGGAAGGGTCGGTCCCGGCAGAAGGACATCGTGGTTGGAGAAGGGCCAGCGAAGAAGAGGAAGCAATTGCGTTGATGAGTTAGAGCGCAGAAGCGTTTGTGAGAATGGCCCTGATGGGCAGGGTTCATCTGGCTGTACAAGAGATGGGGGCCAATCTGAGAGCTCCCCCAACCCCGACTCCAGAGACAACAAAAGCAACACCTGAAGCTTCAGACACTGGATCCAGAACTCAAGAGCAGGATTTTTTCACTTTTGAACTTCTCCTCAGTGTCTCTGCTTTACTGGAGACATTTGGTTTTGGAAATGTGAACTATTTCTTAACAAGCAGATGAGTCAGTTACTCAGGACTGATAACACTGTACAACACAATACGGCCCAGCACACCCATAAAGGGAATTTGGAAGGGGAGTTTGTGTTAGTTTCCTTGGCTGCTATAATGGAAATGTCACCAACAAGTGGCTTTAAAGATCAGAAAGCTATGATGATTTAATACTGGAGGTCCAGGGTGTGAGGTCAAGGGACCAACTAATGAATTTTTTGTAGGAAGAGACTGCTTTGTTCTTCTCCCTTCACTTCTGGTGGTCCAAATATTTCACGACTTGTGGCTGCAGTCACATTTGACTGTGTGAATCATAACAAATTAGGGCTAACACTGGGAATGGGAATCCAAGGGCACTTACCAGTGTTCATGCTACATCTACACATAGACCCAGAGGCAGTTGTTCAAACAGAGCAGGGTATCACACTTGGTTTAAAATCAGGAAGCTGTGCGTCAGGGGTGTATTCTTTTTCCATAACTATTCAATCTGTATGTTGAGAAAATAATTTGAAAAGCTATACTCTATGAGTGATTGGTTGACACAGCAGGAATCTGTAAGATGGGAGTGCTTGTTCTGGTTGAGGGTCGGGTGGAATGTCTGGTTGTTTTGTGATTTAAGCCTCTTGTTTAGTGTCAACAAGAAATCCTGGAGGACCTTAAGGCCTGTGGCCATCAGGCTTCATACTATTATATTTTGGAGAAACATTCTTCTAAATTGTACAGCACTCTTCTGTCAATTTGCTGTACTGCGGTAACCTGGGTTTGCTGTGATGCTGAACCCTGTGCCTTTGGGGGTCAAATGCCATAACAGTTGCCCATGGTGGACAGTGTTTGGTGGAGCTCCCAGTTTAAGACAGGTTTGGAAGCAGGAGTGGCATCCACTTCCTAAACCACATATGCCTCTGAAAACTGTGTGAACTTGGAGAAATGACGTTAGTTACAAAAAGGCTTCAGGTCTTTTGTTTATAACGTTGTTATAAGTCGTGCTCAACTCGATGGCCAACAACAACAACAACAACACTGTATGAAGACAAGTGAGGCAAGAAGACTGGAGGAAAAGTCATTAATAACCTGAGTTATGCAGATGACACAACCTTGCTTGCTGAAAGCGATTAGGACTGGAGGTACGTGGTGCAGAAGATTCAGGACTGCAGCCTTCAATACTGATTATATCTCAACAGAAATGAAAAATCCTTACCACTGGGACCAACAGGCAACATCGTGATAGATGGAGAAAAGACTAAAATCGTCAACAATTTAATTTTACTTGGATCCACCATCAACAGCCGTGACAGCCTTGTTGTGATGTACCATTTAGTCAGCACTGACTCACGGCTGACCCGCCAGAAGATTGTGAGAGGCAGTAAATCACTCAGGAGATGGCCCATCTTTCTCCCCTGGAGCAGCTGGTGGGTGGGTTCATAATGCATGCCTTGGGTTGGCAGCACAGCTCCTTCCCTCTACATCGCCAGAGCTCTCCATCCAGTCGTCAACTAATTGGAAGAAGTGCTGCATTGAGAAAATTTACTGTCAAGGAACTCACTAAAATACGAAAGAGCAAGGATGTCTCTGTAAAGACCAAGGTGTGCTTAATCCACGCCATGGCATTCATCACTTGGTTCCTATGCAACTGAATGTTAGACAGTGAATAAGGCGGTCAGAGAATAATGGATGCCTCTGAGTGGTGATGTTGGCTAAGAATATTGAAGAAAACCTACCCACTTCCAGAAGAGGAAGCCGAAATGCAATGAGGGTGCTCCTTAGAGACTTCGTCTTGTACTTTGGGCGTGTTGCCCTGAGGAGGAAAGTCTTGGAAAGTCATGCTGGGAAAGTTCAATGTTCAGAGAAAGAGAGCAAGCCCTTCACCAAGGTGATCGACACGGTCAACTGTAACAACAGGCTTGAGTGTGTCTGACGTGGTGAGGACGGCATGGGACAGGACAGGGTGCAGATCTGCTGTTCACAGGGTCGCTGGGAGTTGTAGTCGAGTCGACAGCACTTAACAGTAACAGCGCTACCACCACCAACAGCACAAAGCTTGACCGAATCAGAGAAAATGATGCATAGTTTGCATTTGTATTATTTAGGGTCGTTACTGTGGGCAGTTGAAGAATGCATAAGCTGGTTGTCTTGCAGGTGACTTGACCAGGCTTTGAGCAGGTGGGAGTCACTGACAAGCCTGCACTATGTCTTGGTCATTCTTGTTGCCGTTAGTACTGGTCTGAACTGGCTGAGACAGCTGCATGACTGTCTCTGTGTCTTTTATCCCACAGGGTGACCGAGGCCCCCGTGGTCCTCAGGGACGCCAGGGAGAGCAAGGATGCCCAGGTCTGAGGGGACTCAAGGTGAGTGTGGTACTGAGCTATGGAATTCCTTCCCTTTAACCTTTGAGTTTGAAGGAAACCTGAACCTATCAGCATAGCTCTGAGGGTGTCTTTATGTTTCTTCTGAGAAGCACAGCCTGACAATGGGAGTGAGGGAAGTAGTTTACTGAGAGGTTTCACAGAAAACTTGAGTATGGAATGGGGAAGAAGGATGGAAAGGGAAGGTAGTTTGAGAAGACGATGCTATTGATCACGGTAGGGCTTGAGGGAGATGGAACTTAATCTGCTGAGTGACTCTGGGAGCCGTCGTTGAACACGTATCTCAGTGTCACCCCAAGAAGGACAAGGAAGACGAGGTGCTTATGTACCACTATTCGCAGGCAGGAGCTGAGGATGGCTTTTGGGAGCATTAATTCCCCGCACTCTGGCCTCTTCTTTCTGGCAGAGCAGGTTCTGGTTACAGACAAGACTCTGAAGACGTGAGTGGCAGATAATGGCAGTTGGAAATTTGGCTTGAGAATGCTGAGCTTTTGAGGACTGAAGGGCTTTGTGGGGCACCCTTTCTGAGTTGTTGTTGTTAGGTGCTGTGGGAGCCACTCTACACAGCAGCCTTTGGAACAAGAGGTCAGAGCCCTGGCCTGCTCGGCGCCGTCTTTATAGGCTCTGGCGTGCTTGATGCACTGTTAGAGTCCGCGTGTCAGTCCTGCTGTTCCTCAGTCTTCCAGGGCTGGAGGACCTACCCAAGAAGGCCAGGAAAACATTTCTCAGTGCCTTAAAGAACGTTTTCGTGGCCCAGTGGTTCTGCTCTGCTCTGTATATGCTCACAAAATCCCATTTCTATGAATCCATCTGCTTGTTCCTGGAAGCCTTCTTATCTCACTAGCTTGTATAGCTGAAAATACACAGTTCATATCTATGAAAATGTCTATGTAATGGATATATGTTATGTGAAAAATATCGATGGCATGTCACTGCTGTTCTTTGAGCATCACTACTGTGTACTACTGTGTGGGACATTGTTGTTGTTGAGTGCCGTCGAGTCGCCTGTGACTCACAGCAGTCCTATGCACAACAGCTCTGAGTCCTGCCCTGTCCCGAGCCAGTCCCACTGTCTCCGACACCCCTACCCCATTACCTCGGCCACTGTGTCAACCCATCTCACCCGAGTTATGAGGTGGGATTTTCCCGAGTCACTGTCGCAGGAAGGCAGAGCGGCTGTGAGCAAGGTCCCGGGATGTCCAGCACATTCACTGGGGAGGAACCTTCATCTGATCCAATAGCTGTCATTCCTTCAAGTCAGGGAACATCCAGGTTCTTAAATAATGAGACAAACAAAAGTCCCATTCATGCTCAGTTCTTGTTATTTATTTTTTATTTCAGGGAGCAAGAGGGTTTACTGGGGAGAAGGTACGTAACTTCCTTTACTCTTCTTAAACTGAGCAGCCATTTTTCTGAGGAACTCAAGGCTTTCCTCCCCTTTGCTTAAGTGATACAAAACTTTCAGACAAATGAAAATGTCACACAGTCTATTCGAGATCCATCACTATGAATATTCATGATATAGATACTTCTGGTTGGTTGTTGTGTAGAGTCGGAACTGACCCATAGCTGACCCTCCAGTGGGTTTTTAAAGACAGTTAATCGAATGGGTGGAGATGGTCTACCCTTCTCCCGCAGAGCCGCTGGTGGATTCGAACTTCTCACCACTAGGCCACCAGCAGCTTCAGGTTTAGGGAAGTAATTAATGATGTTGTTGTTGTTATTAGGTGCTGTGTAGCTGAAACACCTCATATCAACCCTGTGGACCCTGGGTCTGAACCTGGCCCTGTCCTGTTCCATCCACACGCTCTGTGAGGTGCTCTAACCCTGGGTCAGAACCTCACACTCCCTGACGTGCTCTGACCCATTGTCACAGTCACTGCTTCGATCCATCTTTTTTCAGTGTCCTCCTCTCTTCCTCTGACCCTCCACCTTCCCAGCATGATGTCTTCATGCAGGGACTGTCCGCTCCTGACCACATGCCTGAAGTATGAGACAGAGGTCCACCATCCTTGCCTCCAAGAGCGCCCTGAGGATCTAGAATGGCTGTTACTTTTCAGTGCTGCCGTGTTGACCGTGACTATAGTGACCCTAAGAACAATGGATGGCCTGTCCTGTGCCAGCCTCACCATCTCTGATATACTTGAGCTCATTGTTCCAGTTACTGTGTCAATCCACCTCGCTGAGGGCCTTCTTATGATATCATTATATTCTTATCTTATTGTTATAAGGATATCGATTGTATCTTCAGATCTTTCTAAGTTTTTCGTAATTGAGCCACCATATTTGTCACATGGTGCTCTGAAGGAACTGATACATAATTAAAAGGATTATAGGGAGGGTCTTGTCAAGGGTAAAGTGAGATGGGAGAGGGGCTTTAGGATGGGGCTGTTGGGGAAAGAGGTGGTACATAAGGGAATTATTTTGCATTCAAAATCAGAATGTATAGTTTTAATTATTTGTCCATCTGACAAATACTTGTTAGGTATCCACTCTCCCCTGGTTGTATAGGAAGTGTTTGCAAAGTGACCAACAAGGCAGGGATTCATGGTGCTTCTCACTCATGTTTGGCATCACTGGTACTTCTCTCACGATGCCCGGCGAATGTCTCAGGCAATTCTAGTCCAAGGGCTTGGCACACTTCTTTCCCTGTATTCATTGCAGCTGTCTTTCCGTGTGGAGTAATAAAGAGTTTGAAAATGGACTTCCCTGTGTGAAGCAAAACCAAACAAAACCTGAAGCCAGCCCACTGCTGTTGAGCAGATCCCAGCTCACCAGGGCCCTCTGCTGGGTTCATCTGACGCTGGACGTGTTCATGGACAGAGGCTGCCCTGCAGAGCAGCTGGTGGCTCTGAACGGCTTGGGCTTGCAGCCCAGCTTATCCTCTCTACCACCAGGGCTTCCCACGTGGACAATCCACTATTTAATACTGCAAAACGCATTCTATTTTGCATTCAACACTCTGGATTTCTTCTTCCCGAGACAGAAAAGCTCCATCATGAATATATTTACTGTTATCTTGAGATAACTGGCAACATGAAAAGTACATAATTTGAAAGTAATGAACTATTTGATGAGCTGTCTCTAGGTAGCTGCCCAGTTTTACTCTTTCAGAACTTTTCTTCAGGAGACTTTTAAAAACTCTTGTTATGACAAAATGAATAAACACTTGCTCTCTCTCATACACACAGACACACGCACTTATTTAATCTGTAATTTTCCAAATTCCCTTTAAATATTAATTCAAGGATGTTTGCCATATATTTTTTAATGTGATAGGCTTCTTTTTTTTATTTTTTTTAATTTTTTTTAATTATTTTTTATTATTTTGTGTGCGTGTACCGTCAAATCAGATCTGACTGGTACAGGAGGATATTGCGCCTCCTTCTCCGGCAGAGCATCTGGTGGATTCGAACCGTGTTTCTCTGGGATTGCAGTGCAGCTTCTTGCCACTAGGCCACCAGAGCTCCCCTGATAGGCTTCTTTTTAAAATTTTATACTGTTTTATTTACAAAGTTTGAATATATCATTTTTCACACAGGATCTTTCCAATTTCCTTCATCCCACCCACCCATCAAATTGTGCGACCCCATGGTTATAACCTCTCTCCCTCTGCCCGTTCTCACCTCTCTGTTCCCCCCTTGGATCCTCATACTCATTCTTCAATAATGGTTTTATATGGTATTTGTTCTTATGGGACTGAGTTAGTTCACTCAGCGTAATGTGTCATATTTTTAAATTAGAGAAAGTCAAGGACAAAAGGGCCGACTTTAGCGTGAAGTTAAGTGTCAGGAAATGTTTTATGCAGTCTGGAAGATCAATTTTCTCACTGGAAATGCACAGAACTAAGTCTTACACAAATATTTTCCCACTGAAAATGTGCACAATTAAGTCTTACACTGTTTTTCATTGTTGTTTATTGCCATTGAATTGAGCACGATTCATAGTGACCCTATGAACAAAAGGCCTGAAAACTCTCGACATTTATCAAAGTTCACAGTTTCCGGAGGCATGGTGTTTAGGATGTGGAAGCCACTCCTGCTTCCAAAGTCTTACACTACACATAGAATTTGAGGAATTTTTTTATCTTTTTCATTTAGCACCTAAACTTGATTTAAGAAAATCAGTATTATCACTCTACTAATTCAGAAAGAAAACAACTGCATTGCTCACTCAGAAGTCTCTATCACTCGTCAACTGAATAATAAAATATTATCAAGGAAATGAGCACCTGAGAGACATCTTCACACCACTGCCTCTTGTCCCTGACACTCTGACCGTTGTCCACAGGGTGACCTGGGTGAGGAAGGCGTGGATGGCGTCAATGGAGAACAGGTAATGAACGTTTCCCATTTTTCTCCTTACTCTATACCCACATTAGCTTGATATTTGTGTTGTGTATATGTTTTTGCTAATAAACATTTTAATGTGAACATGTAATACCCAAAGTTAATTTATACTTTTGTCTTGATCTTAAAAACAGAGGGGTGTTAGCACCTTGGCCCTGATACACACACTCCTTTATTATATGTGTTTGTCTGGCATTTTGTGCTGATCTTTTAAAAGATTTGTTAAATTCTGCGGATTAGACGTTGCTATAGCTGTTTTAGTTTTTGTGGCCCGTCGGTGTTACATTTGCTAGTGTCACTGTTGTCCTTTGGGTTCATGTCTCTTATGTCTAGGGGAGAACCTCTAGAGTTTCCTTTAGGAAATATCAGTTCATCAGACGCTTCCTCGGTTTTTGTTTTCCTGGAAAACTCCTACTTTTACCCTTACTCTCTAAAGATAGCTCATTGGGCAAACAGTCCCATATTGCCAGATTTTGAATTATATTGTCTAGGTTTCATTATTGTCTCAAGAAATCACCTGTTAAAAGAACTGTTATGCTTTTGTAAGCAATCTAAAAATAATCTAGGCTATGATTGTTGTTGTTACTTGCCCTTAAGTCACCTGCAACTCATAGCAACCCTATATACAACAGCCCTAAACCCTGCTCTATTCCTTGCCAATCTTATTGTCTCTGACACACCTACCCTCCCATTACCCCAGTCACTGAATCAATCCATCTCGTAGAGGGTCTTCCTCTCCTGCGCTGTCCCTCCACCCTCCCAAGCATGATGTCCTCCAAGAATCATTCCCTCTATGCAACATGTCCAAAGTATGTCAGACAAAGGTTCAGAATCCTTGCCTCCAAGGAGCAGCGTGGATTCACCCTCTCCTGGACGAACTTGTTTGTTCTCCTAGCAGTTCATGGTATATTCAATACTCTTCTCCAGCACCACAGCTTAAAGACATCAACTCTCCTTCTATCATCCCTAGTCATTGTCCAGCTCTCTGATGCATAGCAAGTAATTGCAAAGACCGTGGCCTGTATCAGGCACACCTTAGTCTCCATACTGGCATCATTGCTCTTCAGTACTTTGGAGAGGTCTCTAACAGCAGACTTTCCCAATGCAGTTCGTCTTTTAATTTTCTGGCTCCTGATACCAAGAGTATTGATTGCAAAGCCAAGAAAACTGAAGCTGTCCACATTCTCAATCTCTTCACCATCTATCATGATTCTGCCAATCGACCCAGTGGTGAGAATCTTTGTTTTTTTGATCCTGAGCTTCAATCCATACTGATGGCTGCAGTCCTTGACCCTCTGCAGCAGGTGCTTCAGGTCCTCCTCAGTTTCAGCAAGCAGGGTTGTGTCATCTGCATAACACAGTTTGTTGATGAGTCTTCCTCCAATCCTGATGCTGCATTCCTCCTCACAGAGCCCAGCCTCCCAGATAATCTGTTCTGCATATAGATTACATTTTCCTTTTTCTATAGTTTTTGTATGTCTAGATTTAGATATTTTTTAAAAACTTAACCTATTTAAAACTAGTTAGGGTTTGAATTTGAACATTTGTGCCTTCCGTAAGTTTTAGAAAACTCTTAAAAGATTCTATCTTTAATCTTTACCCTTTTCTCTGTTATCTCTTTATGGAAGTCTAAGCAGGAATTGGCTGCACCTTCTCAGTCTGTGTATCTGAGTGGCTCAGTCATGATCCTCAGGGGATTGGCAGTGGCCGGAGGAATCCTTCTTCCAGACAGATATATTTGTTCGTTTGTCCCTCCATTGTATACTGAATATTCTTCACCATCACCATGACGGAAAAGCATCAATTCTTCATTGATTTTCCTGATTCATTGTCTAACTTTCACACACATGTGAAGCAATTGAAAATATAGCTTGGGTCATGTGCACCTTAGTCTTCAAAGTGATATCCTTTACTTCGTAGCACTTTTAAGAGGTCCTTGGCTACAGATCTGCCCAGTATAATATGTCTTTTGATTTCTTGATTGCCACTTTTGCAGGTGTTGATTGTGGATCTAAAGAAAATGAAATAATTGACAATGCCAGTCTTTTCTTTGTTTATTTTTCTTTTTCATTGTTTATTGATATAGTTGTGAGAAGCTAAGATTAGTTTGACTCTTGGTTAGAATGTGAAGCTGCATGAAAATGCAATAATAAGGTGATTCATCTTTGTGTATTTATTTTTCCCTTTCTAGGGTGAACGTGGAGCCCCTGGGTCATCTGGAGAAAAAGGGAACAGAGGAAATCAGGTGAAGTTTGAGGATGTTCTTCTGTCATGTCTTCTGCAGAAAGTGACTTTGATTGTTTTTAGGCTCCAGGAAGGAATCATCTAGTGATTTAAGTGTCAGATTCAAAGTCAGAGGGCGATAAATAATAGATGGTCATTTGGAAACTAAGTCTGATTCTACTGAGAGTGAGGAATTGAAACCAAGCTATCTAACTTTCTGTGCTGTCGGACAATGACCATCCCACTCCTCGTCTTAGAATGTCCGTGACTTTCTGACCCCAGTGCTTTGTCCTCACTCCCAAGGCTCTGCACTGATTTCAGTCAAGAAGGACTTTCCTCCGGTGTTCTGCTCCCTGTCCCTTGAACAGCGTGTGTGTTCTCTTTCCTTCCATGAGGTCTTATCCTGCAGTTAACATTGCCACCATCACAGTGTTCCAAGCCTTGGTTCTTTTTCTGACATCTGTTTGTGTGAGAGTATCAGGGAGAAATGGAAAGAGTGAGGGGTCTGAAGACAGACCTTGATGATCTTCGCCAAGTCTCAGGCCCCTCGTGTGAAGCCAATGGAATTAATCCCTGCATAGTGAGGTTTAAGGCGGTGATACCACCCTGGGCTAAGCGGACAGTAGATTCCCAAGAACTGTATATCCTTTTCCATGCTTCAATCTTACCTTTGTTAGGATATACTTAAACAATCAAGGACCTTAAAAATTCAAGTTCCTATTTTAACAGGATTCTCATTTTTCCTCTTAATGTTGTCTTTCCTACAGGCAATAAGCATTTCTTAACTTACTATGAAAAGAAGTAAAAGTTATAAGTAATTGTGTATTCCCCCCCCCCTCTGTAATTGAAGGGCCTGTCGGGACCCCCAGGACAACCTGGAGAACGTGGAGCAATAGGCTTAAGGGGAGACTCTGTAAGTGATGTTTGATTCTGCTGCTTGTTTTCCAAGGACTTCTTGTTCTGTTTGATCCAAGGACAAAGACAATTTGCTATTTGTCAACAAGGCAATTGTCCAGCCTATTGTAAATACAGAAAACAAGAGATTTGAGAAGAAAACCATTATAGAGAGAACTTGGGGCTCTTTTGGGTGAAAATATGTACTCCAAAGCACACATTCAGTAATTTCACATGTACCATTAATGAACACTAGTTACACGCTCCGTCCACCAGCTGCTCTGGGGCACAAAGGTGGGCCGTCTCTCCTGGTGCTACTTACAGCCTCTGAGAACCTGCCCGAGTGTCGGCTCTGAGTTGTTCTGACTGCACGGCAGCCAACAGCACACTTCATATCACGTTCGTTCTTCCTCACTCTGCCCATGCTGCCTTATCATGTTAACTTAGATTCTTATCCCTTAAAGTCTCATCTATGTTTTACAGCTATTTTTGTCCATTTAATTTTACATAAATAGTCCCCCAAAGGGTCACAATGCCCACAGTGAGCCTTCTTTATTAAATGACCAGGTGGGTGGTTATTTTAAAGATGACGTCAGACAATAGTTTTAGCTCAAAGCTTAGAAGCTGTCTCCAGGCAGTAAATGTGGGGCTTCCTCCAGTCTTGGTGTGTGGAAGTCAGTCTCGTTTCCAATAAGAGTTGAAATTCTAGTACATATTTTTCCTCTCTCTTTTGATCAAGATCTATTCTTGGTCAAAATGTTCAGTAATGGTAGCTAGGCATTATCTATCTCTTCTGGTCTCATGATGAAGGAGGTAGGAGTTAGTAAAGGCAGTTTGACTTACAGAAATGTTAACTGCAATGGGTATTTGTATTACAAAGCAGTTCCAGACAATGTAAATATATCTACTTCAGTTTTAATTTCTAGACTTAAAAAAAATCATTCCCTTTGTGATTTATTCTTCTTTCTTTGCCATCGTATAATACACTTTTTTTTTCTTTTTAATTTTTTCAGGGGAATCCTGGAAGTGATAGTTACATCCAGGGCCTGAAGGGAGAACAAGGAAAGCGTGGCCGCCCGGTAAGATGGAAATATAGGATCTGATGCTTTTAGTTGGCCTCTTTGAGGGAACTTGGGTATCTAGGAACTGATGCTTTTAGCTGGTAGAGATGACGTGGGCTTCCTGCCTGGACCAATGAGGAAATTCAGGAGTCAAACCCATGGGACTTTGTTTCCATAGCAATTGGAGCTCGAGTGCCAGTCTCCGCGCACATCCTTGGTTTTGTCTCCTTGTCTCATAAGTGTTTGTTGACACAAATCTTGTCTCTCACATGGCTAAGAATATTATTGGGATGAACAAGTGTGAACAAAAGACTTTCCTTCACATTAGACTTCATGGTTTCCAGAACTAAAAGTATTAAATCCAGTGAAGCCCTAAGTCTTTTCTAACTCAATGATTCTCCACTGTCATGACAATGCCTTGATTTAAAACACGCGCAAGGCCATTACATTGTTGAATTGCTTTCCATTACAGTCAAAGATGGCAGGTGTAAATCAGGACTGGCCATTTTCCAAGAGACTTTGTCCATTCTAAATCCTTCAAAGATTGGAACGAAAGACATTCTGGATAGAAAAAGACTTGTTAACTTGACATATGCTAACTTGTTGAAATGACATTTTTAGTTTGTTTTTTTTCCCCCCTGGATATTAGAAAGCACTATTCTAGGGGGAAGGAATTACTAAAATAAATCAAGAACCTTAGATTTCTCATCTCAACATCTCAGGAATGAGATGTGCACAGAAAGATGCTTACAGTTAGCCTTTGGCACGGTAGCCACTGGCCTCCTGCTCTGGGTAGTGGCTAGTTAGCATCCGTGTTAGATGAATCCATGCCCGAGAGAAGTCCAGTTTGTAAGCCAGGTTGTGATTGTGAGGTGTAAGAGAGAAACACCTCTGGCTTGCCGGGAGGATCTCCGCCCGTTGCTGGGTACAGCCAAGCCCCAGGGACGGCTCCCTGTCAGAGAGTGGCGCGCTGAGGACGCTGTGAACAGCCAGTTAGCCGGTTACTGACCAGAATGAACGGAAAGAAAAGGCGACAAACCTTAACTCAGGAGGGTGTTGGCTTCCCCCTCTTTACAGATCTCCAAGTTCCCATGAATCAGTGGATGACACGGGATAGGACAGGGGTCAGATCCATTGTTCACAGGGTCGCGAGGAGTCGTGGTTGACTCTATGGCACTTAACAACAGCAGCAACATGGTCCATGTAGGGTCACTCTGCATCAGAGCAGATGCGAGGGCACCTGATGACCACAATGAGAATGAAGGGCATGGCCCTCGTATAAACTGAGTTTTGGTTCCCTGGCCTGCTCAAGGTTTTACTACTAGGAAAAGTCAAGGCTGTACTGGGACCCAGACCTCGGGACAGACTATCTCGTGCTGTGCCCATCCCCGCTCTACAAGCTGCAGGGAGAGCCCCAGACCATGTGCCCATCACAGCCTAACAGCTGCAGGGAGAGCCCCGTGCTCACAGACCGTGTGCCCACCACTGCCTTACATCCACATGGAGGGCTCCATGCTCACAGACCGTGTGACCACCACTGCCT